AAAACAGATTTGGCGGGAATGATTTGGCGGGAGCCTGCTGAGTGAAAGCAGATTTGGCGGAGCCTGCTGAGTGAAAGCAGATTTGGCGGGAGCCTATCAAGTGAAAGCAGAATTGACGGGAATGATTTGGCGGGAGCCTATTGAGTGAAAGCAGATTTGGCGGGAGCCGGTGGAGTGAAAGCAGATTTGGCGGGAGCGAGCGGAGTGAAAGCAGATTTTGCGGGAATGATTTGGCGGGAGCCTATCGAGTGAAAGCAGAGCAGGAAATGGACGAAGGGGACAGAGAGCTGGAAACCTGAAGCAGACAAAGGTATCGGTTTCTTCTGCTGGCAGAGAGCAGGCTGCAGTGCAACGCAGTCGACAAGTCGACAATGGAGATGTGATGAATCAACTCCATCGCTTCCATGGCGTGATTCACAGAGGTGAGGCAGAGATGATCAAAGGATTCGATTTGACATGTGAGACGTTCAACGACTGCCTCGCAGCAGTGGGAGTGGTTGGTGAAAACTCAGAGAGAGCCGTCGGAGGAAGAATGCGCATTGCCAAGTGGAACGGTGGCTTGTAACTTAGCCGCCTTCGTCTTCCTCCTCCTAACTCTGAGTCCGTGAAGATTTCCTTTCGCGAAGGCCGCATTGGTCCTGAGTGGGCCAGTGTGTGCTGAAGAGGTGCGTCGTATACGTTGCCACGCTCAGTGAGGGTGGGGGGAGAATGGGGATGGTGAGAATTGCCCTCAATAGTATTGCTTCGTCGTGTTGCTGTACTCAACTGGTCTATTGTCTATTGTCTATTGCCTATTGTCTATTGTATATAGTCAATAGAGTCGAATAGAGTCGAATAGACCAAGCAGGCGGCAAGTTTGTAGCATGAAGTAAGACACTTTTGAGATCGGATGTGATGTGTGTGTTTACCCAGTTGGATTGCAATAGCGTCACTTGGATGTGGTTTTCTTGAGTGCCATTCTGTGCTTATCCGTGTCAAGAGGAGATTTCATTGTCGCCAACGGGAAGATAAGACGGCATGCGTCGGAGATTTTCCTTCTGCGAATGGGAAGAACGAATCTTTATGCGTCACAGCAGCTGAACTGAATGAGGGTGAAGACGAGGTAGAGATCAGGACACTCACGCGGGGTGAGTGGCTCCTGTCCTGTTTGTTCTTGCTTTCTTCTGGAAGTTGTGATCTGCTACTTTGTGAATCACCTCATTTTTCAGCGATCTGAGCGTCCATTCCCTATAAGAAGGACAGGTGAGCTTTCCCTGGACCTGTACCGCAGATCTGCATTACCGCACTTTCATCTCCAGTTCTGCTGAGCTGTCTGGCTTTGCAGCGGTCGCTTCCATGTCGGAATGTCACTGCCTCTATGTGCTCTGTGCACATAAGATGGAAAGTTTTGCAAGTAGATAACCGTTGTGTGTGTGTGTGTGTGTGTGTGTGTGTGTGTGTGTGTGTGTGTGTGTGTGTGTGTGTG